CTTTTAAAATCTTGACAATGACATGAGTGCTATTTGACGAATTGTGAAGTTAAGTTAGTTTCATGTTGCTTTTCATGTTACTTTGATTGACAAATTACCTAGCTTACTCACGGTAATAACTCAAAAGTCATATTTTTCGAAGTAAGGGAACGATACAACAATAAAAGGGCGGAAGACATAGAAATCAATGATGAATAGTACTCTTTTCCGAAGATAGTGACACATAGCGAAAGCGCACACGGCGTTACGCGCCACATTACGTCCATTTATCCATCAACGCGACGACAGTATCCCCGTCTTCCGGTCGTGTTGGTTGATCCCCTTACCCTCTGTGCAAACGACAACACCGCTAACGGCGGCGTCTTTGTCCGAGGTGCAGCGACGTAGAAATTGCTTCCACAATATTAATACGTCCGATAATCTCGCAAGGCTCTGTTTTCCGTGCAGATACGTGGCTCGCGGTAATCCCGCGTATAGTTTCCGGCTATAACGGCAGGCTTTCATTAAGCGCGCGCTGCCACTGTCCCGCTTTATTCTACTCTGTGCTGTTCGTTTATGTTGCGCATCCGCGCGTTGGCGGTCCGCGACGCCGAGGCGCACGTTATTACCGTCTGTCCCAGACATTTTAACGTTTGATACCGTTCTCCGTTATGTTTTAACACGCCCGACATAACCACGCGCCCGCGGCCGCGGACGCAGCTTGACACTCAGGAAGACCCGCAAGCACATTATACAGGATACCGCGGAAACGTATATACCTTTAATCCAGATAGGATTTAGTCTTCATTGAGAAATTAGTCGTGATTGTGAAATGGATATTCTTTTCCATGCTGCGCTTACCCGTTTTTGCGAGAGTAAAATTTCCGTTTTAATCGAGCATGTTGCACATACACAAATTATCGCAAAATAAGACAGTTTTAAATGTTATCTGATATGCGGGAATAATAACATCGTATATGTAGATAATAATATTATTTACATGGAGATGTTGGAAGATTCAGTTGTCAGAAGTTAGATCTTGCTAGAAGCAAGATACTGGAACTCTATAGAAACTAGATTTTATCTTGATGAACTGTCAAGCTATCGTATGGAATTTCCTTGACATGCCAGCAATTATTTCCACGTCTCTTTTTCTTTTTTTCTTGTGAAACAAAAGTGTTTCCAACCTAATTAAATAATAAAAATCTACTAGTTTAGTACTTTATAAAAGTATAATGTACAATAAAAAGAACGGCTTTGTGGAAATATCTAAAAATTTAGCTAGATACAGATCTAAAAATAATTTTATCGGACTATTAAAATAATTAGATATATAAAACCCTTATATATAATATTAATGGCTCTGTAAAATGGTTTCACATTTTAGAAATCAATTTAAGTGTCCTACATATAATTATTTTGATAATCCAAACAAATTACATTTAGATTTGCACATTTAGCTTTATATACTTCAGTAAAACGTTTCCTTTTTATAATATATAAAATTATAATGCGAATTATAACGCTATTTATTAATTATAATTTGATAAAAATTTGCTGCATGACTTATATATAGAAGTCGCAAATTTAATAGATTTAATTTTATCAGATTTAATTTTAGAGAATAAGTTAGAGTCGAATAAATTTACTGATGTTCCAAAGGCAAGCGCGCGACGAACTTAGACTATCGATGGAGACTGTCGATATGCAAAATGGATTGTGATTATATGGATGAATGATTATTGGATATCGAACTGGCGAATTGTAAGATGCTGACAAAGTATGGGACATTTGTATACAGGAGAAGCAAGCAGGGACGAGGAATAGAGTTTAATATTACGATGATCTTGTTGAACGAGAATAAAAAAACGCTGCCTAACGCGCAAAGATCGAACGTAGCCGGGGCCGTTTCGTTGCCCACGGCGCTCCATTTACTATTCCCATAGGGTACCGAGAAAACGCTTATACGGGCTGCCATTGTATTAGGGTGCCGTTGCCTCAGGGTCTTCTATCTATCATCGAGCATCATGCTGGGATCGCAACCCTCGAGTTTGCGCACTTACCGCGTCGCGAGATGCCGTATTGCACCCCATTGCGATTGCGTCGAGTTATATTCTCTCGCAGTAACGAAGTAGCGTCCATAACACATTTATTATATAGCGTGCACGTTATACAATTGCATAATACTAAAATAGATCGCACTTGAACATAGGGGAGGGAGAACTTGACTCTCAAGTTAAAATACTCTCAAAATGATAACGATGTTTCAGCACCGTTAAAGAAACGATTAAGATCATCCACCAGTGTTTAAAATAATCCTTTTTCTCTTTCTTCAAAATAATATAATTGCATAATGTTAAAATAAATCGTACTTGAACGTAGGAGGAAATTTAATCCTCAAATTAAAATACTCTCAAAATGATAATGAGTTTTGGTGTCGTTCAAAAATTTCGATTAAGATTATCTAGCAGTTATATTTTGATATAATCTTTTTTCTTTTTCTTATTAAAAGATATAAAATAGTAATGTAATTATTATAATTATTATAATTGAAACACGATTAAATTTTTTTTCTGATTATTTTTATATAACGGAAACGAGCCGACGGCGAATTTCCCGTTAGCAAGGATTAAGAGAATCTTTTTGCCTTCTGAGAGTCGTCGTTGGAAAATCTGCATTGGAAGTTGGAGAGGATTAGAGCAAAGTAGAAACTACCGGGTGGTCGTAATTTGTTCGTAAAGTGCCGCGCGGACCGGTGTTAACCGTAATGCACAGCGTTATACATAGTCGGGTTAGTAACTGTAATAAGTGAGAAAGGGGTAAGCGAAAAACGCAGCCGTACGCGAACTAAAGTATGGCGTGGGATATTAAAAGAAAGAAGTTGAATCGAACGAAATCTCGATATATGTGGTGGAACGGATAGGGAAACGCTCCTGCATTTTATTCGCGTGCGCATCCGAGGTAAAAGGATAACTTTTAACAATCGGTTCAGAGTTACGTAAATTCGAACCTTTCATTTTAAAATCGTGTAATCCAATTTCTAAAGAGTAAAATTTAAATAGAAACATGTACAATCATGTTCAAATGTAATCACGAGATAGATTAAAAGCATAAATTAAGTAAAATATGTAAGAATGTAATATACGAGTATATATATATATATATATATTCTTACATTTTGCTTAATTCATATATATAATTTTAATTCTATTATATCTCGTGATTATATTTGAATATAATTGTACATGCTTCTTATGTAAATTTTATTAAGATATTTTTTATATAGAATTATATAAATATATATAATTTTATCCAAAAATATTTTAATAAAGGCTCTCATATTAATTATACCGAAAATTAGGTCGGTAAAATAAGTCTATTTTCACATATGACGTAGCTTATAATGTGATGCAAAAAATGTTATATACACATGACTAAAATAATGGATAGTTTTTGAGTTATGGTTATCAAAAGCGCAATAAAAATTGTGTACACAGCATCTTTGATGCATTGTAACTTAAAAACTATTCATTATTGAGCTTTAGGTCTAGCATTTTTTTTTTCATCATATTATAAGCTATGTCATACGTGAAAATTGACTTATTTCACCGGGACTTAATTTTCCATATAATTAGTGCGAAATCCTTTGTTTTAATGAGATTATACATTAAAAAAATTTTACGTTTCAATGAGATTTCTAAAATTCAAATTATATTTTTAAAACAAATGATTATATATCTTTTAATGAAAACTTTATAGTAATTAATTAAACGCTAGAGACACTTTCATGATACTTTAATCAATTGGTATCGCCTGAAGGTTCTTTGCATTATAAGAGAAACGTGAATAAAGATTCGTTGCTATCATGAGAAGGGCTGTTCATCCGATCGTACTAAGTTCATCACCCTCGGCCCTTCTTACATTTTATCTACACTCATCTGTATGCGTTTCGGATTAGCGACACACGAAACCGTAGGGCGGCGTTATCCCCCTGCAGATTCTGCCGATAATTACTGTTATTCACGGACAGGCAGTGGTTGAAATAAATGTGACCTGTACCCTCTCGATTCTCGTGCGTCCATTGTGATGATTAAACTAAGCTATATAAGTAGCAATTTATGTTAATTTTAGCCGCAAGAAAAATTCGGGGAAATATCTTGATTAAAGATTAGTATTACATATATATTTTAACAAAATGGAAAAATAATGAAAACTTTACAAATTTTTCTACGTTGTATTTGTGAAAATAATACAACAAGTTTGGCAGTGATTTAGAATTTGTTTCACTGAGAAGTAGACATGTTTTTAAAAAAATGATTAAGATATAAAATGGGATTTTCATTTAAAATAAAGTTGTATCATTAAATATAAATGTTGATCTTATGGAATGTTTCATGTGTATATGTCATTCATTTTTATAGTAAAGTATAAATTTACAATTTCAATCATTTTTTGCAGAGATTATATCTACTATATACTTAAGGTGATGAAATAGTACACCTTATGCATTTTTATATATTAATAATTAATAAAATTTGTATCGAATTGTTTACTTCGATCGATTGATTTGTTGGAAAACATAAAAATAAAAGAATAAGCGCAATGAACGAATCTTCCCGACAAGAATGCGCACATACGTGGCAATCGGTAGATGGGAAGTCGAGCGATTAAACAAATAGCATAGAAGAAATCGGACGATCCCATAATTTCCTTATCCGCACGAACGGATGCTGAGGAAACGGAGCAAGCGAGAAAGGCAAAAGGAAGAAGAGAAGGAAGAGAAAAGTGGCGCCGTGTCGGAATGTTCTACGTCGAGGTCATTATCCCGATACGCTCCCAATCTCTCCACGAACATCGGAATCTCGATCGGATCGTAGGCCTAACCCGCGCGTAATCCTTTCTAATCCTAAGGGAGAACCATGGGGATCCGTGCAAATCGGCAATCTATTCCTAATGTCTCCACTAATCCCTGGTCCGCGAACTGTGTAGCCTATCCGCGTCTAATGGTCGTATTTACTCACCAACCGTGCCTCTTAGAAGATCTCGTAGAGAGCTGTCGGGATTGATAGGAGTGAATCTTTTCGGATGGTCCGCACTATAGAGATATATCCTTCGTTGTATTGATCCTAGAATTCCAGATGTGACTGTCGATCCTCCCCAATCAAGAACGGTGTAGTCGTTTTCGCAGCGCATCGTTTAGGGCGTCGATTAGGTCATCTGCAACAGATTTACGGAAAATCCAATTATTTCTCACCGCATTAGTGTCGTCCTGTGATGGAAGGTTTCGTTATTGGGCTGTTTCGTCATCTGAATCAGAGCTCCGTGTACGTTAAGTGCTGCTAATGTCGCGTACGTAGTATCCTGCCCTGATGGATGAGAATATTCCTCCACTCACGGGGTACCGCGCCGTTGCGTGAAAATCACGTTCAATGATCAAACTGACAAGAAGGCTATTTGTTTATTAATATTTTAGCGGATAGTCTGTTTTTTGGTTCAAAAATCTTGCGAGAATTTTCCTTATATATCTGTCAAAACTCTACTAGAAGTTCCAAAAATTATACTTATGTTCGTAACAGCGAAAAAAAAAACTTTAAGTAATGACAAAAAATTTACTCATAACCAAAAATAGTTGTATTTTTTATAATTAAAATTAAAAAATGATTTAAACTCCCTTTTCCTGAATATAAATATTAGAGATAGAAAAAAGAGAGAAGAAAAGAGAAAAAAATAGGGTAACAAAAAACATTATTCTATATCGTTTATACATTTATAAAATGCATCTAAATATTTCAAAAATTAAATTTTTTTCTTAATATATAAGAAATTAAAAAAATATCTTCTAGACATTTTCCTGCAAATTTATTGAAAATCAATTTCAAATAACCTATAAAAATTTGCAAATTATACCATAAATCTGTAACAAACAAGTAACAGTTTATACATTAATGTTATCAAAAAAGAAATAAGAGAGAATATTCATGTTGCTTTTGAATCTAATCTTTATTAAATTATATTGCAGTGTTATATCTATGATCGTTCGCGCCGGGAGCATTCCGAGCCGGGCTCAGGAAAGTTGCCACCATCTCCACTAATTGTAAGGTACTCTAATAATAGTAATAAATATATGGCAGTTTACGGAAGGGCGCGATGGTTTTATGAAAATATGGTAGACTCGGGACAATACCATACTATGGAAACAATTATCGGACTTCGCACGGCGACAGTGTCTGCTGTTTGCATCGCGACAACGAATTTCCGTTGGGAAGCAATTACCGTTGCTTGCGGACGACGTCTTTTGCGAGCCGCGGTTACTTCGGCCCTTAACTCTTCGATGCACATTTCAATTTTCCATCTACTTAAAAGTTATACATAATATAATTTATCACGATAACAAAATATTTACATTGCTTGCGCAACGGAATACGGCGAGCATAGAGTAGAAAATGTAAATCCCAAAACCTCTTTAAGTTAAAATTCTGTTGAAGTATATAATTTATTTAAGATTAAATGAAGAATGAGACTTTGCTCTCTAGTGGTTTCTACTAAAATCGGCAATTCTACACAGAATGTCCTATTTGCTGATGTTAATTTCGTACACTCGCTTCATATTTCGTTCCACCTGAACAAATCCTCCATTGTATTTGGAATGGCAATTAAAGATAAATAGTTAATCACAATGAAATTGAGAATTTTTTAGTCTACAGGATTAAATTCTATTATTTTGCGGATATTTTAAATAATAATAATTTATATTGATATTTCAAAAAAGAAATATTAAATTTAAAATTTCAATAATAAATTAATGTTAAATATTAAATTAATATCAAATTTTTTCATATCAACTACTAATATTGAATATAATAAATATTAAATTAATATTAAAAAATATTAAATTAATATTAATTACAATAAAATTGTGAGATTTTGCTGTTAAATATCTACAATTCTGAGAAAATAAAAAATGTATTCAGGTAATCAATAAATTTTTATATGATTCATGGTATGACGTGAAGAAGATTTAAAAAAGGATAAATGCTTTATTGCACTCTTTAAATTAAGAAATGCGCTAAAGAATCAAACAATATAATTTTATGACGCGCTATTTTTCTTTTTATAAAGATCTTACAACTGTCTGTCAATGGAGAGTGTTCCTCGCGAATAACTATGGAATAATTATTGACGACAATCTTCGAGCGCATCTCTTGTGTTTTTCGTGATTTGCGTTATTAATCCGCCATTACTTTATGAACCTTCGAATAATATGGCAAAATAGATATGTCTTCCTTCTCGGATGGGAGCATCTTTTGGTGTCAGTCTTTGTATAATCTACCTTGAGAGAGTTGCAGTTTCGGTCATCTCCGCAAAATTGCAGCTCTCATCGAGTCGAGATTAAACCTCACAGTCTCCACCAGCGCAAATGCATGTACGGAAGGCTTTATCGTTATGTGCGCGCGAATGTACGTGCGCGTGCGTGTGTGTGTGTGTGTGTGTTTCTGAGTGGGCGGCCATGTTCACATACGGAGGAGCGAGCAGACATCTGGTTCGTGCATCTCGTCTAAGAACGTAGAGGGTAATGTGAAAAGGGTTATGCGCCGGAGGAGCATAGCTTGCAACCCTTTTAGCTCCTTACCTTTTGCTACGTGCCATCAGCGTTTCCTCTCTCGCACTTTTGAGATATAGTCGCAAAACCGCGCATCATACTCATCAAGGGTACATTATCGTACAGATGCCCTTAGAGATACACGCAAGTTCCAAAAACACGGGAGCTCAGTGCTTATTAATTTCTTTCAAGCTATTATGATATGATAGATACAATGCCAAAATACAAACAGTATCATTTATAATTAAAACTGAAATGATTTAGATATTAAAGTTCTTTAATGTACTCTACATGAAAAAAACAATATTTAATTATTATATTTAATATTTCGTTATATGAAATGTTTAAAAATACACTAGATACACAAATCTGAAAATAATTTTATTGGACTGTCAGTAATTGTATACGATGCTCAAACTGGTTGCTAGAATATAAAAATTTTTTGCAAAAATTGCTTGTCATGTGTGAGTTTTCTACATAATTATTTTGATGATCCAACAAAATTAGTTTCGGTTTTGTATCTAGTTAAACTGTGAAATATTTTTGCAAAATTTATATATTATTTCCATCTTTTTCCAGATTTCTTGTATTATATTTCTTTATATTATTTTTAATGGTAGAAGAGCATCAATCTTGCTATCACAAGAGAACCTTATGTCAAATTCTGATTTGTAATGAAACTTTATTTATATATCTACATTTAGATTATATAGATAGAATTAAATGAATTTAGAAAATATCAATTGCGGTTAATAAATTTGAAGAGGTGAAATTATTCCTTATACATAAATCAGTTTTTAGTTTTCCTTGTTATATCTTATAATATTAATTATTTTCAAAATTATTTTTTATAAATATTGACATAGATTAATAGGTAGTTTTATTAAACTTTTATGGAAAAAATTTTTTTATATCTTGAATAGTTTTTGAGATATAACGAAAGAAGCTGAAAGCATTCTTATAAAAGGGATAGTTTCACCTTTTAAAATCGTTTATTAACATCTGGTATTTTCTAAATTCATCTATTTACGTAACTTATATGTATGTACGAAAGATCAGTATTTTATTCTTGGATTAAGTAGAATACACTAGAACTATCTTTCTCGCTTTCGCCAAATATCAAATCTACTTCACTTTGAGTTTCAAAAGTGTTCACTAGTTCAACCATAAAAGACCTACAGTTTCATTAAAATCAGAATTTGATGCTTTGTAAGATTGTTAGTCTATCGCAGGTTTCTTTATTTTGTGCTAACATTACCAGTCATTCACATCGAAATGGTCCGAAGGGCCTCTTTTTCATACTCCACTCCACGCGATTCCTCGGAATTGCTACAGCCGTGCCGCCGCCGCCCCCGCGAGTTCTCGAGTCTCGCGTCTCGCGGCTAGTGGTGGTTGGTTTCTTTGTGTTTGCTGGTTGCCCGAGCAACCTCGAAGAGTTTGCCTAGGATTAAATATGTAGTTTCGAATTAGGCTGGCACAATGTCGGCTCTCTCTCTCTCTCTCTCTCTCTCTCTCTCTCTTTCTCAGACCATGAAACGTGGTCTAAGACGACGCGTCTCGAGCTATGCGGACGAACGGTTCTTTAGAGGCGGAGGCAACAAAGCGCGTCTGAGGATTGAAAGGGAGTTCACATATGGCCGTTGGTCTCGATGTTTCGCGATGCGAGATTACTCGTTTCAGCGATAGAAAAATATAACGGCGTGACTGCAAAAGAACTATTTTGCCTCTCTTCTTTTGATTCAAACGAAACTGCTTTCCTTTTAGAAAGAAATTTGGCTTCATACAAGAGTTTCATATATTTATTTTATTGAGATATCTGATGTTTCGATAAAATAAATATGTGAAACTCTTGTACATCTATGTGTAAAAAAATCTGATTTTTTATAATAACAGGATATCGATTTTTATTCCGATAATGAGAAATAGTTTTGATTGAAAATGAATAAATTAGTTATAGGTTTTGATTATATCAATTAGAATTCCGGTTATCATAATTGAATATCTAATTATCTCAATTAAAATTATAATAGATTTAACTGTAAAATTTTGATTTATCCATTTTTCATTAGAATTTCAATAATGCAACTAGACTTTTTCAATGGACATTTCAGTTTTTAAATTATAAATAAAAAATAAAGGAGAAAGATAAATGTGCTTTATCTTCTGTTGTTTTTGAGCTCATTTCAAAAACTGATTCTGCAAAATTAATTAAATTTTCATAATCAAATAATCAATTTCAAATTCATTAAAATAGTTTCTTTTAAAATATTTGTTGGTTTTTTAAATATTGTCAAGTCAATCGTATATTATTTGATTAATTTCTTTATAAGTGCACAATTTTTAATTAACTAATTGTATTTCACTTTTCATTAAATTAACTAGTTGTAGCTCTTGTGGCAGCTTTCGTTCTGGATTTTATGTTACAATCAACAAACACCACGTAAAACAAATCCGAAAAGAATATATTCCAATATATAACAATCATACAATAGTTTAATATATATATTGTTTTATATATATATATATATAATATATATAATATATATAACATATATAATATATATAAAATTGCGAAGCAAGTAAAATGTACAGTATTTGTATATTTGAAATAAAAATCGAAGTGATAGAGAGTTGGAATTGCAAAATAGTTGCTTTGCGATGTTCGCGTGCGAGAATCTCTTTAACGACGCTTGGATTAGTGCATATCGCGCTTCGAATTTTTCACCTTTTCCTACAATTCATCAGATTGAGATCGCGGAGTAATGCGAATCAAACCGAGCGATGCAAGCAACTGAGAGCTGTGAGGCACGTAGTATATAATGTATATAAATGATTAATTTAGGATGCAAGGAAGGAAATACCCAGCATACCTCTACAGCGTACGTTCTCGTGTGAACTGAATGATACCTACTCTGCTACAAGCTGGCTGATGCTCAATGCCTGGCATTTGTTTGATAACCTACAGTGTGCTGTTTGTTTTTACGAAGTCGGCTCTACTATCGTTCGGTACTGAGACTCAAGCGAATAGAAAGAGGCGCGTGCCGCTCCTGGATCGTCACAATACATTCGAGCCTTTTGCCTAAAACACACAAACACATACGTAACAGATACACGAGATGCCTCTACAAAAGGTTAGTGATTATCTACCTGCACAATTGATTATTTTCCGAGCTTACCCTCCGAAGTTGACGTAAATTTATTGGATCCGCTCAATAAGCTCTTTGTAAAAAGTTTGATTTTGTAATGCTATATATTATTTGTCAAACGAAGACTGCATTAATTATGTGGAATTGAGTTCCAATGACAGACCCAGCGTCAGTAACTGTGTTACAGATTTTCGCGCGTCAGTTTCGAAGAGTTAATTATAGCGAGCGTTAATACGATGCTGTACATTCAACACAAATATTTCGTGTAATTTACTTACTTGTGATAGGAATTGGAACTCTCGGGAGGATTATTTTTTTTTTGCATCGCGATGCTCGCATGGGCGAGAATCTCTTTTGACGACGTCCGAATTTGTGCATATCACGCGTCACGTTTTTGAATTTTTCACCAATTTCGATGTAACTCATCCACTAGATTGAGAGCGCCGAGTAACACGACAAATCGTCTGTGTCGAGAAACAGGTTATGGAAAAAATATTGGCATATTCAAAGTAAATAATTACCGCGGAACGCGGGAAATAGTGTGTTCGCGATGTATTTCGCGAAGCGCGTTAAATTTTTTGTATTTCGCAACGTACGTTGAACGTTCGTGGAAAAACGGTGAGTAGGTAACGGCGGCGTTGTTTTTTTGCGCGCGTACAACAGTGTTTGTTGATACGACCTCGTTCGGAATGTGTGCCGCTCGGTGCGTCGTCGATGTCGTCACATTATTCTTCGAGTCTCTGGTGCGTCGTTACGTTATTCCTCGAGCTCTCCGTGCGTCGTCATATTTAGGTGTGTCTGCGTAATTCGGCGTGTGGTTCGCAAATCGCAAAACGTAGGGTCACAAACGCCAATGCAGAATGACGATCACCGCACGCAAGATGCACTACGCAGAGGAAAACCAAAACCGCACGCGATGAAAAAACAAATGCAAATCTTCGTTCCGCGTCTGTGTTTGTGAACTACGTGTTTGCGAATTACGCAGAATAGCAATTGATAGCAATAGAAGCATCGTAATTCTTCGAGCCCTCGCGACGCGCAATCAATCCATAGGTGTAAAGTATCTAGACTGAGCATTCCCTGAAATTTGAGGAGTGGGAGTTTGCCGTTCGCGCCGCGATTCGCCAATGAGAGGGGGAGCGCGATTGGATCAAATAAATACGCCCTTTTCCATCGGTAGTATTCATTGTTCGTTGTTACTTCCAAATAAGACTTACAAATTGCTTTCTGTGTCGAATGAATAATAATGGCGGAATTGATTTGGGGGCAATTTCTGATTGACGACTTTACATTTATTGTTGATATTTCTAATGGCTTAATTTACATTGATTTTTAAGATTTTGAGCCATCTTTGATTGGTCGTAAGAGTTTATATGATTCCATAAGAGTGTTGTGTAAGAACACACTCTCTTGTGTCCGTAAGGTCTGTTCGTGTAGCTTGCGCTTTTTGCATTCGATATCTTTGCTTTCTTTTTCTTCAATATATACTGAATATAGAGCAATATTCCGGTAAAGAACTTGTTATACATTAATATGTATAAATATGTATTAACATACAAGTATTCATAAATATGTATAATCATATATGAAATATGTCCATACGTATTCATATATCCCTTTTTCTTTTGTAAAATTATTTTTTAGTAATAGAAATAAGTATATATATATATAATATATATAAGTATATATAATAGTTATGTGAAAAACATAAAAAATAATTAAAGGGAATAATTTTTGCATTGTTTGTTTTAGAAAAAAATAAGTTTGGAAAAATGTAAAACAAAATTACTCATCAATTATGCAAAATTTTATTTATAAATTATACACGAGTAATTTTTTTACATTTCTTCAAACTTGATTTTTTCTAAAATAAATAGTGTGAAAATTACCCTTTTAATTATTTTTAATTATTTTCACATTACTATTGTTATTTCTATTACACTAAAAAGTAATTTTATAAAAGAAAGAAGGATGTATGGAACATATATAAATATATTTCATATGAAATTAGATATATTTATGAATATTTATATATGTTTATACATATTTATACATATTCATGCATGATGATAATTTTTTACAGGTTATATTCATAATTGAATCCTATATTTAAGATCATCTTAAGATGTCGTTAACTAAGAGAACCTTAATATCTTATGATATTTCTTAAAAGATGATAATTTTTTACCGGTTATATTCATAATTGAATCCTATATTTAAGATCATCTTAAGATGTCGTTAACTAAGAGAACCTTAATATCTTATGATATTTCTTAAAATAATATTTTAAGATAATATCTTAAGATATTTCTTAAGACATTTCTTAAGGTTTTAAAATAAGAATGGACTACGTACAAAAAACAGCCTATATTTATTTCGTTTTAAAGTGCAAAAATTTTGGGATTTCAAGCAACACAGACAAACCTATAATCTCGACCGAGAAATTCCTTCGATATTACACAGGCTCGCATATCAGCAGACTTCGCGCCTTGTAAACTTTTCATCGCTGGACTTCTCCATTTGTTTCCGAATTATCTGCGCGAAGTAATACGCCAATCAGAGCGAGCGATTAAAGCAATATAGAAAACCGCCGTACGTCGATCACTCATAATAATACGCGTGTTTCATAATTATCTGGGAATTCGCAGCGTGTATAACATGAATTTTCGATTATATATATGCCATCGGGCAGTTTGTCATGGTTAATTAATTAGTCGTTGATTTGACTATCGAAGTTGCTGTTGGGTCCATCGGTAATTAGCGTAACGGTTGGCAACAGTTGCCGATATGCCGATACGCCATCAGTTCGAGAGTCGGAACGCGCTTTAGTAAGTACAATTGCAATGAACACCGTGGTTCAATATTTGTCGATCATGCATTGCAAATACGACGTTTACGCGACGGTGAATCGTCGTGCCGCGCAATCTCGCGAAATTCATTCGATCGACGACATCCGCCGCAGCCGCAGGCAGAAGTTGGCGTAGAACGATCGTATTTTCGAATATTCGACAACGAATATTCGACGATTTATTTCGTCGCGCGGGATCATTCGTTCGGGTTATATTATGCGATAGTGATCACCTAGAACGCGGATCTGCACTATCCGTCGAAATCTATCTATACGTAGACGAATACACATACTATTTGCCACTTAGAGCGCGGAAAAGTGCAGCTAGTGCAACAGGTGTAGCCGCGACAAGCGACGCGACGCATGAAGTTGGCCGCGCGATCTTCGAATGTTCGACTCCCCTCCCTCCTCGCGCGAACCATTGGCGTCACGGTGCGATGTAGGGTTGTCGCGAAAAGCGTTGAGCGACGTGACGCGTGAAGTTGGCCACGCGATCTTCGAATGTTCGACTCCCCTCCCTCCTCGCGTGGACCTTTGGCATCTCGTTCGATTCGGTTGTCGCGCACGTTAACGCGGATCGTAATCGGTTGTGATTTTTGCGTCGTTCTCTTCCGCCTCGTCGCTTATTGAAAGTGTCGGGAGTGTCGTGCGTTGTTGGGGATGTCGGGCGCTCGGTGATTAGCGTATGTGCGTCTCGCCATGCAATTAACCACAATCGTAGTTCGCGAGTGTTCACGCGAGTGCCATAGAGGAGTAGCCGCCGAGTAATGAGAGAGGAGGCGGAGGCCTAGGAGGCATCGGGCAACGGCGGAGCAACCGTGGGTGAGCCATTTGTAACTTGTTTCATTTATTATTTATTACACTCTCTGGGATTAAATGCTCGTCCATCTCCGCGCGGTCGTTTTATGTCATTGTGAGATAATGCACATGAAATATACTCAGATAAAATCTCCTAAATCGAGACATTTTTAAGGCCTTTTTTCGCAATGTGGTTAAAAACTAAAGATCACTAAGAGATTCAATAAAATTTATTCAACAATTCCTTGGTATAATCTTTAATCTTTAGTAATGTATTGTGAAAACGAGGCTAAAACATCTTTTGCAAAAAATATCTTTTTTAGATGTTTTCAGATGTTTTGTATCTCGTTTTTGGATATGCATGTTGTTTAGAGGTGCGTTCCACTTAACGCCCGTAACGCTCGTGGAATCATTTTATCCTTGTTGTTTATCAAATATTAAACAACGACAAACGATGCTCGCGAGCGTTGCGAGCGTTAAGTGGAACGCAGCCTAGGTATGTATAGTTTGAGATACTTAAAATAAGAATTATAACAAAGGGATGGAATTTAATATTTATAACAGATAAATAAAATGTATAGATAAATAATATAGATAAAGATGAACATACTCCACTTGTAATTCATTAGATATATTTTTAAAAAGTTTTGTAACATTTATATTGGAAAATATTTGTTGCAATGAATGTTTTAAATTGTTTTGTTGAAATAGTATTTTTTTTAATGAGTGTGTTTAACATGCACATTCAATGTACGCAATAATTCTTTTTTAGAATATCAATTATTTTGATTATTTTTTAATTTCTTGAATGTATTTGTGTTTTACAGATTGTTTTACGTCATGACTCTGCTGCTGCGTATTGTATTGGTGAGTGATAAATTATTCTTTTATTGCGATTCTCTGAGAAATAATAGATTTCTGAAAGTAATAAATACAAAATATATGTACAAAAAAAATACCAGGGAAAGATTGAAAGAGAAAAAGTTTCCTAAATGATAATATATTAAAATTTTAATTGTATCCAATACAATAGTAAAATGTTCTGTATTATTATTATTATAAATTACGAGATATTTAAGTTTTTTATTTATTCCTGCAGTTGTGTATTCAAAAAATGAAAAATATATTTAAAAATATATATGAATATTATAAAGATAATATTTCATAAATCTATTACCTTATTGGAATGGATAGGCTCTTTAAGACAGATTGATAAAAAAAATTTAATTCTGGAATATTTATTAGACGTACAATATAATATTTATTATATAAGGATACATGATAAAATGTGAAAAATATATCTATAATTTTTTTTAGTTAAGACAGTAAATTAGATTGATTATTTTGCTTATATTGATCGCTGCATTAATACTGATATTATTGATAAATTCCTTTTAAATAAACAAAGTCATCATGATTTTTTGGCTATCTTTTTATTAAGCTTTTTATATATAAGAAAGACTTCTAGAAAAAATAGTTGAGACAGCAAATATAATATTAATTTTTGCTTCATATATACATACATACATTAACTAATAAAATTTTGGAGAGCTTGTTATTTAGTACATAGTTAAAAAATAGAAAAAATATATAATTGTTTTACAAATAATTAGAACAAAATATTTATTATACATATTTATGTTTAATAAATAATAAATTATCCATTAGCGATAATAAAGAATTAATATGTTGCTTCATTTCCCTTTTTTTTTAAACATATTTTATTAGAATTTAGTTTATTCGTATTTGTCCAGAATTAAATATTATGTAAATTGTTACATGAAAGCGACATGTATGTGAAAACATTTTTTTCAATATACATACGTTAGATATAGAAGCATAATAAAAATATAAAAATAAAAGGACGATAAAAAATATTTCATACAGATGAAATATATTTTAGTTATACCATATTTTTATTTAACAAGAAATGCAACAATGATTATTAATTACATTTATTTTTATGACAGGCGAGTTTTATTTTCGTCTTTCGGAGCTTATCCATCCATATTTGTATTTATGATATTTATGTCGTTTGAAACGACGTAGTAAAACGACGTCAGATTTAATAAATATTTTGTCGCACAACAGAAGAATTTTTTATGTAATTTATTTCAAACTTAATTAGAGAGTTTTACACTCACACACACACACACACATATATATATATATATATATATACATATATATATACATATACACACACACACACATATTAATTATATTAAAATACTTCGGATATTAATACACATATGT